TGGACATTTAAGATCTGGACTGGGAGAAAGACTGGAAAACAAAAAATATGCTTGGCAGAAAGTAGAACTGTAAAACAGGAAAGCATGAAGTTCTCTCAGGGAGTTTCAGAAGGCACTAGAACCTAAAAACAGACATGGGTAAAATAGGGATAGACTCGGAGTTTGGTAAGGAGGCCAGAGTTGATCCTAGAGGCAGTGATGTGAGCTGCTGGCACTCAGAGCCAGAAGAAAGCATATTGATTCCTTTGTTCATTCTTTCTATAAATATTTTGGGACCAACTCTACTCCAAGCAGTATCATAGCACTACAGATGGGCGAAGAAAAAGAAAAGAAGGGCTCCTCTCTTCTGGTGCTACTAATCAGTCAAAAAGATCAGTGGTTATGAAAACAAGACAAAGGAATCTCCATGAGGTATAAAGGGAAATAAAGTGGGGAAGAGGGACAGGCAGTGGAAGCCAGCCTACTTTTGGCCAAGAGCAGGCATGTGTGAGCAGATAATGGAGGCTCTAAAAGTTAGTCATGCAAGAAGGGAGAGGAAAGAGAACAGGAGGCTACAGGCCAGGGGTAAGAGGGAAGGAGAGGCCACAGGAGGCAGTGCAGTCAAGAGTCAAGGAGTCCAATGTACCCCAGGCAGAGAGCAGAGATAGGGCAGGGGAAGATTAGGAGAAAGACCAGAAGACTATGACAAGGAGCACAATGGTGCTTTAATATAGCACTGGCCCTTCTCCAATAGAAGAAGGAGATGTAGGACAGCTCAGGTTGCTGCATGGGGTCCTGACTATAAAGGAGAAATGGCAGAGCCATAGCAGGGAGGAAAGATAAAAGAAAAAACCCAGCTGCAAAAAACCAAGACCAGACAAAAACAAAAGGTAGCAGGTAGGGAAGATGGAAGAGAGTAACTACTCCAAAGCGCAAAGCTGGAAGGGCTTACAGTAGAGGTGTTCACTAAGATGCTGCAGGAAGAGAGATGGACTGGGGAAGAAAGTTAGGGAGTTGGAATAGAAATGTTGAAGTCAAAATGCCAAGGGGAAAAAATCCCCAATTAGCCTCTTTTCCCACAGTCACTTGTCCCGGGACAAACTGCCCTGGACAAATGAAATACCATTTCTTTCCCAGTGGAGAATGTCATACCCAACAATCTAATGGTTACAATAGCCATTCTTTCTCAACTCAGATCAATGTATATTTCCCAGGAAATGTTATGCACTGATCCTGGTTTCATACTCCAGAACAAATCACAATAAGCTACTCCATCTTCTAATTATATTCCCCTAACTGGGGACGGTGCGCTACCTGTTTCATTTATATCACTTATGCTTAGAATCTTAAATTTGTATACAGATGGTTAGAACCAAACAAGTGGGCTTCATCCTGACAACCATGCCATACTGGAGGTTAAGCCCTAAGAAGAAAAGTGACCATAAGCCAGACCATCCAGCTATCCTGTCTACGCTGATTTTAAAGCCAGTGGCCTCTTACCCCATCTAGCACTCAACCACCATAGGGCTGTTCTGTGTAACTGAACCATTAAAACCTTTGCACTAAAAGCATTCACATCTCAGAGGTAATTCTGGGCTCTGCTCTCAAGAGACCTATCGAAATTAAACAGGGTTGAAAAATAAATAAGTTCACATAAAACATGAATAGTATTTCGAGAAATCCAGGCACCAACTCTGTTCCTTATTTATGGCTTCGTGTTCCAAGAGGTCAAAAACTCCAGGGTATCAATAAATGGACTGTAGAATTGCAATGTTTAACCACTTTGAAAAGAGTGCCTTCATGGGTCCTTGTGGAAAGGCACTGGGGCACACCCCAGGGGGGTGGTCTCTGTCTCCTGGTGTCCATTTAGTCTTTTTTTAGAGACTTAGATCTCTGGGTCCAGTCATACAAACCACCATGTCCATTTTCCCCTATCACCAGACTTTCTCCCAGGACACTGGCTTTCTGCTGGTAACGCTCTCATGTGAACTATCTCACAACCTCCTGGGCATTATGGTCCAGCTTTGCACAGAGTTCTTCATGATGAGGGACCTGACCTCTGTCCCAAGGCCATGTGCCTGCACAGAGATAGGGCCACTAGAGACATTCCTCTGTCTCATTCAGGTGCCAGCTCTCTAAGCACTGGCTGAAGCAGTCTGTGCACTCAGCCTCTTCCTGTCCAGGGCAAACATCCCTAGTTCTTTCCACTGTCTCTTATTTAACCTGATTTGAACTAGAAATTCATTGTTTTCCTAAGCACATTGACTTTTCTACTTTGTTCTTAGAGTGTCAAGCTCAGAAATAAATGCAGCAATCCAACTGTGGACCAGCTGGTGCCTGGTAAGTTCAGTGCGAGCCTGTGTCACTCTAGTTACATTTATTAATATGCCCATATCCTCTAGCTTCCCTGATGATGCGACGGTCTATTCTGAAGTATTAGGTTGACAGATAGAACGCCCACTGTCAATCTGGGCTTGCTGTCTAGAGTATTTTCTTTATGCTCCTATCTCCCACAAACCCTCTGCCAGTCTGGTGAAATCACTTCATCAGTTTGGCCAGATAGCATAATGCTTCTAAGAGGTCTTCAAACTGACACCAAACCAGAAACACAGCCACTTACGAACTTGCCATAACCTAGATCAGTTTCTACTCTCTCCTCTTAGAGAAACCATACCACTGAGCTCCAATTACACTCCATGTTTCAGGCAACTCTCCACCCCACAGTGTTTTCCACAGACTCTGCCAATCACAAGAACTGGTTTGGGAGTAACTACAGCCAGTCCGCCCTGAGGTTTAGAGGTAACCACATACTGTAGGCCATACTGGGAGATTAGGGACAAGAATAAGTCCTTTTCCTACTGAGACTGATGAGGATGTCAGTCTCAAACTTCCTCTATGAAGGAAAAGCCATGCTGAGAGATGGAGAAACATCCAGGTACAAAAACAACCTTTCAGCCCCTGTCGAAAAGCCTGAGTTATCTTTGAGCTCACTAATCTTTTTTTTTTTGGTCGGCTGTAGGGCTTGAACTTTGGGCCTGGGTACTTTTCCTGAGCTCTTCAGGTCAAGGCTAATACTCTACCATTCAGCCACAGTGCCACTTCCCATTTTCTGGTGGTTACTTGGAGTCTTTTGTGCCCGGGCTGGCTTTGAACTGCGATCCTCAGATCTCAGCCTCATGAGTAGCTAGGATCACAGGCTTGAGCCACTTACACCCAGCAATTCACTAACCTTATTAACAACCCTATTTTGTTTGGCCAAAATTAAATTAGGCTGGATTTCTGTCACCTGAGTGCAAAGCAAAACTCTACAACTTCACTGCAGAAAGATCAGGTGACAATTGTTCGGACCCATTGCCAAAATCTAACACCACACTGAAGCACAAATGTGCATAGAGAACAGTAACATGGTTAAAAAAAAAACAACAACAACAAAAACCTAAGCTCTTGAATCCAGTCTGGGATTCATCCTGATGGACTTGGAGGTCCTGGGCAGATGAACAAAGCTTCTGACACACCCCATCTAATCAACTGGGATAGTAACTATATGAAATCTATGGTGACATGGTGAAGACCAAGATGGCCAAGGTCTAGCACATAGAAATGGTTATAATACTAGTTGTCTATGGACTGTCAACATCTTCACTACTATTGAGTTCTAGTAGCAGTAGTAGTAGTAGTAGTAGTAGTAGTAGTAGTTGTAGTAGTAGTAGTATATTATCAGTTTAACTACACTGCTGAAGTCCGTGTTTTTCCTGTGGAACCCTATACTGACACTGGGTGGTACTGTCCTCTTGAATAAAGGCTCTCCTTGTTAGAGAGGACATTTCCTTACATCCCTTCAGGATCAGCATCAGTTCACCTTCCTTCTTTTAATCGCTCTTCTGAAATTAGCCACCCACTGCCAAGGCACATAGCTACTTAAGATGTAAGCTCTGAATGGCCCAGGGGTATAGCTGAGAGGCAGGTTATAGTACTGGGCCCCAGTACTGGGCTAGGGTTCAGGAACTGAGCTCTACCTTGTTTACATTCTATCTGGCTGTCTCAAAGCAAATCTTGGTAAGTAAAGTAGAGGTCCTAATTAAAAAGTAGCCTTGAGCTGGCAATAAAATTTATTCATAAAAAAAAAAAACACAGTAGTGACTTCCTAAAGCCATTTTTTCATGAGAATTTTTTCTTAACTCAAGTGTGGGGATAAATAAAAAGAAAATAAGCATTCTCATACTGCCATTCTTCCCCATCCTGAAAGTAGGGAAACCATCTTTGACACACAAAACAATTCCCCATATTTGAAGCCACTGGCTGAAGAAATGATGAATCTTGTCTTTTCTACTTACTTCTGGGAAGTGGTAGGGATTATCATTTGTGCTTACTTGTTTGGGGAGGGGAGTTTTTCTATTCCATCCCTGTACTACTCATCAGAACTGAGCATCTATCACCCCCAGCAAAAGCCTGATAGCCCCCACAAAACTCTCCCCCACACCCTGCTTCCTGTATCTCAGCACACATCACCATTCAGAGAGATCATTCATTAATCTATCTGTCTGTCTGTCTGTCTGTCTATCTACCTACCTACCTACCTATCTTCACATAGCACACGTTCCAATTGGCTGCTATCTCAACACTAGGTTTGGTAGGGAAGTCAAATCAACAAAATAGTCAAATGTATGAAAATAAGAATGAGCAGATGAATCAATGGCAGAAACATCTGGTTCCATCATTAACTCCAAGGCTCAACCTTCTCCCCTTCCTTCACATACTAAAAGAGGTTTTAGATGTTTCCAAACGCACCAACCCACCATCCCATCAAGGTACACCTTATTTTGCTCTTTTCATTTTCTCCTCAGATAGCTGATGGCTTGCAACAACCTACGCAAGAAGTCATTTCCCATGATAAGGCTTCAATATTCCAGTGCTCTACCCAATGAACCTGGGTGATCCAGATGGCTTTGAGGCTCATTCTTGAGGCTCTCATTCTGAGACACTGACAATCCCTTCCTTCCTTTCTTGATTCCCACCCTTACCTTCGAAGCTCCCAGCAAACAAATATATCCAGGTGATGGCTGGGATGCACAGCAGAGTCAAAGAGGCAGCCAGGAATTTCCGTCTCCCTCTGCAGATTGCCAGCATCCTCTCAGAAGTAGCAATCCCTATTCCCAGTGTCGTGTCTCTGTCCGGAGCATGAAATCCTCGGCCTCCCTCATAGTACTTTCTGAAACAAAGAGCAAAGAGCGAGGGCTCAGTCCTTCACACAGTAAACAAATGAAAACGGCAAAATAAGCACAATGTATAGATGCTGAAGGCAGACCTCGTCTAAGACTTCCTGCTTACATTTTAGTATAAGATATGACCAAAAAATGCTGCCCATCTTGCAGTCTATCGAAACCAAGACAGTTGAGGAAATAATGAAGTCTGAGGAAACTTGCTCTCTTTCATACCCATGTGACTAACACAATTAAAGGAGAATTTAGTTACCATCTATTATCTATCAAGCACTAAAGAGGTGATGCATATTCAAAATGGGAACAGTGGTTGACTTCAAGGAGCATGGCTTAATCAGAGACCATACAAAAACTTCTGCAGGAAACCAAGTACATGACAACTGAGATTTACATGGACCCATTGTAGAAGACAGATAAAGTTGCTGATACGTTTCAGGCGACCCTGAACAATACCTGAGCTACAATGAAGAGTACACACAAAGAAAAGGAACTTGGTCAGGCCATAACATCTACCTTCATAGACCTAAGTCGCAGAAGAGAACTTACAACCCAGTAAGGACTACATTCATAGCTCTACCTTTAATATGATGAAAGAAGAGGTGAATTCAAAAAAGCATCAAACAACAACAGTGTACAGAGAATGGACAAGAACAAACAGATAACCTCTAGCCAGCCTGGTGAGAGATGATCCTTAGGCCAGGAACAAGACTGGCCACAATGCCAGGACATGTTACAAAAAGAGAGAAGCTTGATACAAATGAAGTACAGAGCCCATAAGCTTTCACCTGAATATTTGACCAGGAAATCAGATGACTTAAACAAGAGGTTAAAGAGCCAACAGATCACAAGATCCCTTCTCTACTTGCTCCCTAAAATGGATGTCACATGGTCACAGATGGGAGTTCTACTCCCCTGACAGAGAAGGATGCCCTGTGCAGACAGGTGTAACAGATGTCCAAATAATAGGCATGCATGGAACAGGTAATTTGGATGCCCCCCTCCATACTGCCATGGTATATAACTGTCGCCATCATAGCTTTTATGCTCCTTGTAATGGTGTGGCCTCATTGATCTGCCTCCATTCCTTACCATTAATTGAGCCTCCCACCCTTTCTGATGCTCACACTTCCTGACTTAGCATACTCCTTATCACCTGCATAACTGTCTGTTAAAGGAATGAATGAACTTAAGAGTCTAACCAGAGGCAACCTCTCCAGCTTCAGGAGCTGGTGCTCCGCAAGTTATCAGCAATAAACAACTAATGGAGCCAATATCAACTGTCAGTGCTGGGCTTTCTTCTGCAACCATTTGGACGGATGTTCTAAATGGCCTTATGAAACAGATGAAAGAACTCAGGGCTGGAGAGGGTGGACTAGAAAGTTACACTGAAAAAGCAAGCCTTTCGAACACAGAACGTTGACTTGAGAAAACTCTCTCCTAGGAAAGTATTTCATTCTGAAATATTTCGTTCGGGAAACAAATACAGCCCACAAACTCAGCATACACACATAACACACACACACACACACACACACACACACACACACACACACACAAGCAGAACACAACTAATAGATTATGAGAGTTAGGCAAGGAAGATGCTAGAGTCTCTTAGGAGAAGAGAGAGAAAGAGGAAAGGACTGTGCTGTGGTTTTTAAGAGATCTAGGTTCCAATTCAGCGGCTGCATCCAGCTTGATTGGTTTTATTCAACTATAAGCCAAACTGATACTAGAAATGACTTTAGACTTTGGGGAAAATAGGACAATGGGAAATGAACTCAACTGCATCAACATTGCTAAAACATTTTTTAAAAAACTGTAGAAAACTTATTTTCCTCCTTTTCTCTCCCTACCTACAGAAGTTAATTTCAAAATGATATGCTTTGAACAAAGTTTTAAAACAGAGTCTAGGATAGCTTGTCTTTTATAATGATGCTGGCATGAGGAATTAAACCCAGCAGGTGAAAAATATTCCTTCATGGATTTAACTTTTAAATGACAGCTCTGTGCAGTTAAAACAAGTTTAAGGGGGAAAAATATCTCAATTTACATCAGAAGTAAGTCAACATGGGAATCAGCACAGGAAAAGAGGAGATAGAAATGGGATGGACATTATATCCCAAACAGGTGCAAATGCTGAGGCATGAAGTAGAAAAACCAGCTCTGTTCCTTCAAGTGTCATAGTCATGGCTAAATACCCCTTCCTTAACTCCAATGCAGTCCCATGGTCAGGATAGTTTCTCCTCCTAAACATGTACTCCACCCTCTTCTACCTGTCTCCACTAAGGAAATTCACATTTACAAACAATATATGAGCCAAAAAAAAAAAATCTCATATGTTAGGCCATAAAAGGAGGATTCAAAGTTCAAATGTATAAGCCCATCCAAGACTTCTGTTTAAAGTAATAATCTTTATATATAAGGACAATAGCTACATGTGTATATACATGAAGAAAGGCTTACATGTTGAAAGGTACCACTAGGCCTAGGATATGAGCAACTGTACTATATATAAATATATGGTCCTAAAATTTGCACAAGAAGCATGCACTGCTTTAAAACTACTAAAAATCTTCAATCATCATTGATATTGATCACAAATGAGTCAATAAACCGACACATGGAATTGAAACCCTCCTGCATAAATATTTAAAGATTAAATAACTAAATAATAAATTTGGAGAGAAAAGCTTAAATTACTATGTCTGGTTATATTGTTCACAATTCAAAATACCCCAGCACAGAGCATGAAGTATATAATTTACATGTGTAGGTATAATGAGTCAATCTCTGCAGCATCTAACTGGAAACACACCCTCCAGGCTTGTCTGGTTACATTTTAAAGAACCTAGTCAGTAATCCACTTTTCAAATGCCTTGTGCTCTAAGTGTTTGGGGTGAGGGTGGGGGACTGAGTGAATATGCACATGCACACATATGCACACACATTAGTCTTGGGACATGAATTCAGGGACAAGAGCTTGCTCAAAGCTATCATGCTACCAATAGAGCCACAGCTCCACTTCCAGCTTTTTGTTGGTTAACTAGAGATAAGTCTCACAGACTTTTCTGTCCAGGTGGTCTCAGAACCATGATTTATCCTCCTGAGTAGCTAGGATTATAAGCATGAGCCATCAGTGCCCAGCCAGAGGCTAGCTTTTCATTACCACTTTGGTTGTTAGAAATTACATTGTGTGTATTCATTATATACGGGTTGTCTAGAAACATATGAAGAGGAAATAGAAATCTGTGGACTTGGGCCAGGAAGGTGGCTCAGTGGTAGAGTGCTTACCTCATATGAATGAGGCCCAGGGTTTGATTCCTCAGTGCCACATAAGCAGAAAAAGCTGGAAGTGGTGCTGTGGTTCAAGTGGTAGAGCGCTAGCCTTGAGCTGAAGAGCTGAGGGACAGTGCCCAGGCCCAGAGTTCAGGCCCCACAACTGGCCAAAAATAAATCTATGGAAGTAAAAAAAAATCTGAAGGAAGTTGAGCGCCGATGGCTCAGGTCTGATATTCTGGGAATTAAGGTTCAAAGCCAGCCTGGGTAGGAAAGTTCGTGAGACTCTTATCTCCAATTAACCACCAGAAAACCAGAAGTGGCACTGTGGCTCAAGTGGTAGAGCACTTGCCTTGAGCTGAAGAGCTCAAGGACAGCACCCAGGTCTAGAGTTCAAGCCCCGTAACCAAAAAAATAAAATAAAATAAAAAATAAATTTAAAAAAACCCTAAAGAATCAGCACATTAGAGCTGCTGATTTTAACTGGAACAGGTTGGGTCCTATCATTCATGCCATGTCACCTCTGCCTTTTCTTGCAAAATGCTGTCCCAGTTCCTGATCTTTACACGACTACATCTGCTCATCCTGGACATTCATCAGCTTTGAACATGTCAGCTCAGAGAACTCTTCATGGATAATCCTATTCCTAATAAGCTCCTCCCCAACATCATCTATCGCCATACTGTGTTTGTTTCCTTCACAGTACTCGTCAAATTCTGAAATTAGGCAATTATTTGATTGATTAGTTGCTAACTTGCTGCTGTGTCACTAGATCTTAATCTCACTTGGGCAAAAAACCCTGTCAGCATTAAAGTCAATGTACACCCAGGTACCCAGATAGCATTCCACCAGTATCTGTTGGACAAATCAATGAAAGAGTGTGCCCTCAGGTACCTCTGTAGTCAAAAAGTTTGTTTCAAGACGTAATTTCAAAACAAAGCCAGCCTTGGCTGTCTAACATCTGTAACACGATACACATAATCTGCTTAGTACCTCAAGGAAGTCCCCATAGCAATGTTCTGGCCCTGACACAGATACTGTCACTGTCACTGCACTGATGTTACTAGAAATGTTCATTTTTGGTAACTGTCTCTCCATTCTCTGCTTCTTGGGGAAAGAAACCTTAAGTGTCTGACACCTCTCACCAAGTCTCCAGCCACACAAACATCCCTGTACATCAGGCCCCAGAGCATCTCCCTCATGCAGATGGTCCTTGGCTGCCCACGTGGATCTGGAGTCCCTAATCAAAAATTGATCTTGGGAACCAGGTGCCAGCTGGTGGTTCATGCCTTCAATCCTAGTTATTCGGGAGGCTGAGATCTTAGGATTCTGCTTCAAAGCCAGACAAGGGAAAAAAGTTTGTGAGATGCTTACCTCTAGTTAACCACCAAAAAGCCAGAAGCTGAGCTGTGGCTAAATAGTAGTGCACTAGCTTTAAAAGGCTTTTCTTTGGTGTGCTTGTTTTGTTTTCTTGTTTTCCTTTGCTTTCCTGTTTGCAGTTATTTCTTTTGTCTTTTGTTTTTTTTTTTTCCTCCTTGGGTTTATTCATGATCCTAATTTCAGTACCCTGTATCTTATATATAAATTTATTTGACTTGGGGAGGTGGAGAGGAATCACAGAAAGGGTGTGACCAAGGGCAAACCAATACAACAGTAATACTCACTAAACAATATGTTGGAAATGAACTTTATAACTTGGAGGGTGGGAAGGGAA